TTCCCCAGCAGATACCCAGATGAAAGATTTCCGCAAGCCCAGAACTGTCAGCAGCTCCAACTTGCCTTTGACAGTCCCTTTCCAGCCCCACTCCAAAGATAGCTCTTAGCTTGCTCCTTCTCTGAATCCTAATACTAATTTCCTTTTCTAAGCCATGGACAAGCTCTGCAGCCACTGCACAGATGAACGGTTTCTCCAAGGCCAACTTTCCAGCCCCACTCTAACTGCAGCTCTGTGCTTTTTCTCTCTAAACCCTGACCCTAATGCTCTTACTGCCAAAAGACTTGGCCTGGGAGCAATCTATCTTCTAGCAGCGGCTGAGGGAGTCCTTGTCTATGGCTCAGCAAAAAAAAATAGGGCTAGGATAGAGAGAAAGAAAAAGCATAGGGCTGCAGTGTAATTGGGGCCGCAAAGGGAAAGTTGCAGTTACCAACAGACTTGGCTTGGGTGAAATGTTTTGTCTGTGCAATGCTTGGTGACCTTTTCTAGCGCTTCCCTGGAAAAGTAGGGTTCAGGGCTGAGGGAAAGAGAAAACATAGATCTGCAATTGGAGTTGGGCTAGAGTGGGGCTGCCAAACCACGCTAGTAGGCAGCCGGGAGAGCTGGGCTGGGAGAAGCCTTTCATCCTAGCAATGGCTTCAGGGTCTTTTCTTCCCCTCAGCAAAAAATGACCTTTGAGGGCTGTGTGATCTCACCTGCACAGCCCTTCAGCACACACTGTCACACAAGAAGAAACCCACACTTGTGCCAGCTCCTTTCACTCATCGTATGACAGGTAGATCAGCTTCATCCTCAGTCATGTCAGTCTTGGTTTCATGGCTTTTTTTTCTTGTTACCTATTTGAAGTGGTGTGAAGGTGAGCAGTATTGCAGTAGAAGAATATGACAGTGCCTTTGTTTCCTCCAAAGATCATTGTTTCCATCCAGGAGGAAAAGGTGTTACCAACCTCCATGCCTGAGAAGGGGGAAAGTCAGGGCCCCCGGCATCTGGTTCTGCAGCAGACACCCATAGTAATGTTAATACTGTGCTTGTGAAAGGTCCATCTGCTGCTCCTTCTGAATCTCAAAGCAGGTCACCCTTCTATCTCTATCTGTTATCTTAGCGTCACATTCCTTAACCTCTGTGTCAGTGGTCTCTGGCTGCAGTCAGCTTGTTACTCAGGAGTTACTGACGGGTTGATTGTACCTACAGAAAGCTACTGCTATTGTGATCCAAGTTGTGATCCCTGAGCCGGCAGTGTGCCCAGGTGGCCAAGAAGGCCAATGGTATCCTGGCCTGTATCAGAAATAGTGTGGCCAGCAGGAGTAGGGAAGTGATCGTGCCCCTGTACTCGGCACTGGTGAGGCCGCACCTCGAATACTGTGTTCAGTTTTGGGCCCCTCACTACAAGAAGGACGTCGAGGTGCT